GTTGTGAAATTAAGAAATTTAAAATGTTAGGAATTCTATTCTTTTGAAGGATAAGTTTTAAAAGCCAAACCCTGCATTCTGATTTGTACTGAGGACCTCTGCAGAATATCCTGTCTGAACTCATAAAACACATGAAACTTCACCTGAGGTCAAATATTTACAGTACATGCTGCTGAGTGCTAAAAAGGTATCTGGCTGTTGACCTTTCTTTTGAGAACCCTGCCAGCATCAGGGCTGCTCTGGGTCTGCTGTGGGAGAAAAGGAGGAGAGCCATGCAGAGCACATGTGAGGGTATGCGCTCTCTGTGACCTCGCTGGCCCAGCTGCTCTCTGAATGCTGTTCTTCACAGTGAATTGAAGGGAAATAGGTAGTCCCTTCCAACTCAAAGCATTCTATTATTTCATGGTGCTGCAGGCATAGCTCCTCCATCCCAGTGCCCAGTTGTTCCCCACAGGACAAAGCCTGCCTGCTCAGACTGTCAGTGCTGGTGTGTGCCCAGGTGGACACAGAGCTGTGCCCTTGTGAAATCATTATGAGTTGCTTGGGTACACCAGTCATTATTAATGTGATTCAGATGTTGTTTTTCACTTAAATTCTGTATTCTCACTTCCAATCTCATTTGTAAGCTGATGCTACCTTCTGGAAAGTAATTTTTAAAGCAAAAGTAGGAAACCAAAGGAGTTGTGAAATTCAAACCTCAGTAGGTTTGGTGAAGGGGGTTGGTAGAAGAATTGGTGATTAGAGATACATATGGGAAAGCTAATGACACAGTAAACGTTATGTGTTGGCTTTTTATATTCAGCTATTAATGGTTTTGGGTTTGTTTTTAATTTTTGGACACAGGACCTGTGAAGGGCGAAACATCCGGTACAGGACATGCAGCAATGTGGTAAGTGAAGTATAGCTTTGATATGATACAAATCATCACATGTGATAATCACATCCATATTGCAGCAYATAATTTGGTAAAATAGGTGATAGTGAGATTATTGTAGCCATCTAAACTGCGTTCATACCACAGGACCACAGAACYACAGACAAACATTGTCAGTTTCTTGAAAAGTGGAGAGGTTACAGCATAGCCTGATGCTTAAACTGTCTGAAAGGGATTGCAGTCACAGCCACCACAGAGAGTCAGTGAAACTTCAGAGTTGCTTTTTATAACCTCCCTGGCAGAATCAAGACATCTTGTGTTCCCAATCATGCTTTGATAACCAGCTGGTTCACATCGGGTAGTGTGTCAGGCTGGAGGATTAAGCTGTTCGGAATTGAAGACAAGTTAGTAGAAGATATGTGATGCGATGATTCTAATATTTTTCTGTACACTTGTGCCCTCAAAGCATTTTAATTGTGTTGCATGTCTTAGAAAAGCAGTTTTGTGTAGCCTGTATCAGTGTTCTGGCATTTCCAAGGCTCTTGCTGAGTTTTTTATGTGTGGCAAATATAGTTTTCAATACAATAAAGTAAGAAACTTCAACTTCTGTCTCAACAAAGTGAAAGTGTGTTTTCACTGGTGAAAATTGAAATAGAGGCTTTCATATGGAAAGTTTTATTGGGTGCCAAGAATAGTAAAGGCTCTCAAGTTACATGGAGAAATGTCAGTTTTACCAGTAAAGATGGAAAATGAAATCAAACRTACACCGGGCCAAGCTTTCTCATGCCTGATAGGAACATATTCAGGACCCTTTCAATACATGCTTTGTTTAAAAAGTTTAAAAGTTTAAGTTTAAAAAAAAGGAATATATTAGCTCATATTTAGCTTATCTTTTCTTCAACAGACCACAGTTCATAATGAAASAAACTGCTTCTGAGTTGTAGTCTCCTATGCAGTAAGATTTCTCTCAGTTCTTCAGGAGCTGGGCTTTGATAATCCTTGTGAACCCTGTTCAACTCAGAATATTCTATAATTCTGTGATTCCTCTGAAATCTTTTCTGATTATATTGTTTGGGTTCCTGAAACATCTCATCAGTCTAGCCTTCACCTTTCCTAGATGACAGCAACTGGTGTAGTTAACAAATAGATTTGCTGGCAGATTAGCAGTCTGGTTTTCATCTGAGGAACTTTGGCTACACCACATCTGTGTAAGGAATGGGAAAATGGGAAGGGTGATTTGTGCTAGTGAAGTTGCAGGCCATAACTCTGCTATGTAAAAAAAAAAAAAAAAAAAAAAAAAAAAAAAAAAAAAAAAAAAAGATACTGTTAAAGGCTATTTGGACTACAGTTACACCTATTCTTTTTGTTTCCTTGCTCATTGCGACAGTCCCTTTCTGTGTCTGACCTGCCCTTGTGTGTTAACACCAATGAGACACAGCAGCATCCTGCTCCGCTGCCCTTGGCTGCTCCTGGGTCACCCCRAGGAGACGCTGGAGCTTTAGCTGGGTTTCAACCTTTATTTTGGGATCATTGAGTTTAACTTTCCAAGATAGCGAGTATTTCTTTAGATGCTATTTTTAGCTTAGGTTCTGCTTTGCAAATGTGCACCTGAGCAGTTTTCCTTCAAAATAAAGCCTTGTATAGTTCTGTCAGGCAATTCCTTTACATATCTTGTAATTAGCAATACTGGCTCCAGAACTTCCAACCCAACAGTGAGGCATACAGCTGCAGAACTCAATTATTTCATACCAAATAATCCAAAATGAAGTCTTCAAGCTTTCAGCTTTACTATGCTGTCATCAGTGACAGTTTTTCCACTGAAATATGAAGACCCAGCACTATATTTGTGATTTCAAACCATTTTTGGGGGGAGCATAAAGAATGGTTGTACAGTGAAAGTCTAAAGCAGTTTGGGAATCCCAGACTTGCGTGTCTGTTCTGAAATCCATTCTGTTACTGAATTGTGCAGCTGTAACACTGAAGTACTCTTTGTCTCTTTCAGAATAGCAAAAAAATTTAAATCATGTATTTTGTCTTCAATGAAGTCTACTCATTTGTCTCCACAATCCAAGGATACATACACACTAATTGGATCTTGGAAACAACTCATTCAGCCCAAAGCTGCTTGTGGAATTCTGCACTAGAAAAGGTCCACAATATTGTGTGTATTTTTGTTAACTCAGATGTTGCCTTTAGAGATTTCATCCACAAAGATGCTGAAGATCCAGGRGATGGAAATTCCAGGCTCATGAGACCTATGTTTTCATCTGTTACATGACAGCCTTTGCTTTGAAGGCAAATAAGATCAAATCCCCCCATTCCACTCCTGCAAATGAAGCTACCTATCACACATCATGGAAAGTTCCTTTTTGATTTTTGTGAAAAACTGTGAGTCCTGAAATACAGCTTTCATTACCACTATGTACATAACTTCAGGAATGATGTTCATAAAATAACCAAGTTTTTTGGGTTTTGCAAGCTTTCTGTGAACTGACATGGTTTTTTTATGACTGTCCTCTTGCAGGAAAGGATGGGTGGTTATATGTACTRAAAGTAAATATTTGAAATGTGAAAATGGAGAATTGGAAGAATACTTCTCAGAGTCTGGCAATGAGCATGTTTTATAGGCACTATCATTTGCAAGATTWTGCTACAGCTGGTTTTAATTCATCCTGAAATTAAATTACAGAGGAGGAAAAAAATGAGATAAAGAGAGGCAAGGGGAAAGAGTGGCGTGCCTRTTTTTCCAGTGACCTATATTAGTTATTCCAGAGGTGCTGAATAATTTTGCATAATAAAGACTATAGGAAAGACTGATACTGCTGTCTATAAAGCTTCTGAGCAGTCCTTAAAAGACTAAATCCAGTCCAGTATGTTTGCCACTTGCATTGCCTGTTGTAGATCGGAAACTGGAAAGATTGTGGGTATGAARCCACATGTGTAAATAGTAAAGGAAGGAATGAGAGAATCTGAAGATGATTTAGGGTTGAATTGCATCTGCTTTTTTTCTTTTTACTATTCACATTGACTTCTGGATGCTTCCAACCATTTCAGAATATAATCATGGAAGGGAGAGAGGGAGTCATTTGTTTTTCTTTAGAAAATTAGTCTGAATGCAATGAAAACATGCTTTTGCATCTGGGTTGTTATACTCAACATTATGCAAAATAAACAAAAATGTTTCCAAACTCTGAGAAGGAATTTTTAGCTTGTTCTTTTTCTTTTTTTTTTTTTTTCCGAGCTAGCACACTCTTTAGTCCTTCCTTCTAGGTGCCTTCTCAGGTACTAGGTTCTCTCCAGCTTTTGTATCAGGTTGTCATGCCATCCCATGTGCCCTTTCTCTTTCTCAGTCCTTCTGCCACTTGGCTGCCTTTTGCTTTCTCTTCCCATGTGAAAATAACTCTGAGGGAACATGTACTGTCTTTATGMCTTTCTTCTCAGTTGTCAAACTCCTTCTTGTGACTGAAAATATTTTTATTTTCTGTGATATTTTCCCTTTTGCTGCACCGCTTTCTGAATCAGAAAGAAAAAAAAAAAAAAAAGGAACAAGATGAGACTGACACTGAAGCTGCACAACATTACTAGCTCTTTCAACAAGTTTTCTGTTAAACCTAAGATAAAATTTGTAGATTGTAGATCCCATTAATCAGACAACCAAAGCTTGTAAACACCACCTGCAACTCTCTTTATGTATACCTCACTTTMTTCTCTTGGCTGAAGTACCAGCTGTAATGTCATCCACCATTTTTTGGCTCACATTCAGACAAGCTACTTCCATCCCTGTTTCTTATCAGCTCATGCTGCATTTTGTATACACCAGCACCAGTGTTGTTCATCTTACTTTCTACRAAATAACACTATCTTCTTTCCATTCTCGAAATCCCAGCCTGGAAAATGTCAAACCTAAACTTCCATATAAGTGCATAATTCTCAGAAGCACTGGCTTATGTGTATGAGAAGTATCATCACCAAGTAGATATTTTCAGACCTACAAGAATGATTAGCAGGGTTTAATTTTTTTCACCCAGTCGTTATTAGAAACACTATTTTGCAATCAAACTTCCCAGTTTACATTTTATAGTAAAATAAAAAACAAAAATTAAAAAAAATTATATGCCTGAGACATATCTCCTTACTAACACACAATTTATTTAATGTCGATTTATTTTTTAAGTGGAAATTCTTCCAAACTCAGATAATTTATTGTGACTAAAGTCTGTTCTTCAAACTGCTAGATTTTAATAACTACCATCTTACTTCTGATTGGATATATTTTAAAACCTCAGTGTGTCATCTAGAAATTATTTCTTTATACTTGGAAACAAGTGCTTTTAGTATCTAGCAAATGACAGAATCTTGGACTTCTGGATCTGGTATCTTCCCAGCCAGGGAACTGTGAATCTGTGACAATTAAAAAAATAGAACAAAGAACTCCCCCATTGTTGCCAGTCAATGTAAATGTATAAAGAAATTTTGCAGACCTAATAACCTCAATTGCATCCATTACAGTAATTTTGCATGACTATTCAGGACTCTTGGATATTCACAGATTTAAATTCAGTATTTCTGACTTTTTTTAATTTGAATAACTCATTTTCATCCAATAATATGGCACCCTTGATGCCTTTAGAAAAATGTGGTTTAATATTATGTACTTAAATTTTTTTAGCCTGAAGTAYTTGGAAGTTTTCGTGCTGAAATTAAACTGACTCTATCTAATTTAAACACTTTGCTTTAATATTTAAAAGGGATGGAGAGAAAAAAAAAAAGAAAATTACATGGAAGGCTGCATGTTGAATTATTTGCCAAAATGGGAATATATTTCAAAAAAGGCCTTTTTTTTGAAAAATTTATTTTATTAATATTTGTAAGGAGAAATGTTAATGGAAGTCTGCATTTGTAGTTCACTAGTAATTTTAGCTCTGATCTCCACTCCGTGGTTATTTAACACGGAGGAGAACATTTGCTGATGTTTCCCAATTTACTTTGTACCTATTATTTCTCTCATGCTTCAC